AGCAGCACAGCTTTCCAGAGAGCAGAATAAGAGGCACCTACTACTGTCACCTGGTGCCTTTTTTAAGTCGTGCTGCTTGTTACACCGGGAACAGATGGGGCTGCCTTACTGCTTGCTATATGGGGGGCAGATTGGGCTGCCTTACTCTTTACATTTTTCTTTTCTTGAATGAATTCTAGAAAAGTCAACACTTAGACCCAACCCAGGCAGGTGGCAAGATTTTCTGTTTCCACTAAAACCCACTATGAGTTCAAAACAGTCATAAACACACAACCAAGCCTTCATTCTGGTACCTGCATGCATACAAAAAATTGCCACCACATTCACAACCTTTCATCCCCTAAATCAAATGCACACAACATGGGATCATGAGAAGGGTGTGTAGCAGCAAAACTCATATGGCCCTAGCCCACTAACTTAATAGCCTATTCCCTAGAAAATCCAGTGTGCTCAGCTTGTAGACTCAAATCCTGCCACCACAATACAGGTGCTCTATTTCAAAACTCAGACTTTCACACTGACAGGTTTCAATTAGAGGAAATTACTTCAAGGTTAATACAGAAGGGCAGGCAACACCCTAGATTTGTGGTCATCTTTGACTGTACAGTAACCAAACAGCCTTGGTCTTTGCTCTGGAAATGCAGAGCCAGCCATCCCTCCAGCAGAAACCAAGGTGATGAAGGTTTAAGCTTTAAGAGACAAGAAGGCTAAGTATAGAAACTTTGTATTCTAGGTATTCCACACTACCAAAACAAACACTGAAGTTACATTTAATAATTCAAATTACTTTTGTCTTTATTTGTCACCATAAAGATAGAAGCAATTCATCGTACTATCTACTGCATGTACTCCAGAAACCATTTTTAGAAGCATGTGCAGAAAACTTGCAACTCTAAAATTGTATGTAAAAGTAAATAGGCAACTTGTTAAAACTAAGTTATGGTGAATCTCACAAATATAGAAAATGGACATAACAGTTTTGCAATCAATGCAGAACAAACCACAGCAGAAGTAAAAAGACTTCAGACTGTGACCTCCAGAAGGTCTGCACCATAGTCATGCTTTAGAGAACACAACATCATTACTAGTTCGGGCAAAGGAAATCCCAAACACATCCCATGCCGAGCTGAGCTAAGCTTTTTAACCAAGAGAATGTTTACACATGCAATTCTGATTACAGAAGCTTAAGATTTTTTTTCAAGGATAGCATACCTCTTACCTAAAAACACTAGAAAAAAAATAAAAGAAAATCAAGAATACAATCTGGACTATAATCACATTATCTATGAAAACAATAAGCTCTTTTGCTTTCTTATACAGACAGCAGACAAAGCAAGAGCTGGAAGGCTCCTTGTCATGTAAGTCCAGAATTAAAACACAGTATTTTTCCCTTTATCTCTGTTTTGCAAGAAAAAAAATCCCCTGTCAGCATCTGCATTTATGTCATGCTCACGTTGCTCTGGAATAATGAAGAGGAAGAAAATAGAGAAGTGCAAGTGACAAATCCGTCTTTGTTTAGCAAAGAAGGAGAATCACTACATGTGAATCTGTAACAATTTCTATGCTGAATCAAGTCCAAAAGTTCACCCACCTGCTATCTCATTATAAGCTATGGTCAATTAGGTATCTAGGGAAAAGCACATGAACTGAAACCACAGTGCATTTTCTCTGGATGCTTTCCTGGTCTTCAGCTATTTGTAGCTCTGGCCTCCTTAGTCAAAGATAATTTACATAAAACAAAACTTTTGGTGTTTTCTCCTTTTCTTACTGTGGTTCTTTTTTAGGATAAAACCCACATCACCTTACAGAAAGGAGTTCCTCAGGTTAACTGTATGTATGAAGAAAGACCTCTGTAGGTTCATCTAGTAACCAGATGCCAAAACAACCATGGCTGTTTGGACATTTGTTAGCACAAATCAGATATATGGCATCCTTGGGTTAGGCCTGCTTTCATATGTGAAAGGCAGACTGATCATTGAATGCAGGCAGGCTCAGCAAAACACCTGATAAGGAACATTCCAAGAGAACTGTGACCAAGACCAGAAGTTCAACCAAAGGACAGAATCAAAAATGACCTCTGGGGGTCATGAAAGACCTCCAAAGATCAATGCCTCAATTAATTGTGCCTGTGTGAAGGGCAGGGGATATGATAATTAATGGTGGGATTACGGTAATTATTTTGGGGAAATAATTAGCATAAGAAGTGAGAAATCACTAACCAATAGAAAACAGAGTACTAATCAATTAGAATTAGGAAACTTTTAACCCATGAGCACTAATTCCTCTGTTTCCTGAAATACATAAACAGTAAAAGTTTGGATCCTTGATGTGCATATTAAGTGGAGGATCCCCCATGCATTCAGTGCTGCAATAAAGGCATACTGCTTCTTAATGCTACTTCGGTGTTAAGGAGTTTTCTTCCCAATTTCAGTGGCAATCTTGCAGCTCTAACTCACTGATTTCATCTAATATTCCCTCTTTTGCATACTTGCTTGGAGTGACGAGTTCATTTCCACACAGAAATTTTACAAATCCCTACCATACACCCACTCAGTTCTCTCTTTTGCAGGACGAAAAGTCCTAGTCTGCTTGTTCCTCACATCCCATAAATACAGTCTTCCCAGTACCTTCAAAAGCCTTTTCCAGCTCTACCACATCCCTTTCAACATGGGATGGAGCATGTGGGAGAACCAGACCTGCCCTTAAATTGAAGATTCAAGAACATTAAAAAACCCACTTGTGCTTTTAAAGTTTGTCAATTTGTATATAACACTGCAGCTGATGGAAATACAAATGAGGAAATACTTCTAGAGCTGACAATCCCAAAAACATAAGCATCTTCCTCCATAACTGCCCCAGGAGATTCCATTCTAGACATTTGCAAATCCTTGCAGTATTGACAAATATAATCACTTGGATGCAACTACTGTTCATCATCATTACAGTATTTCTTACACCTAAATTAAGCTCACTCAAGAAATTTGGTACTGAAAAGAAACACAAAGAAGGCCATCCTAAAACAAGATATCCCCTGACTCCTTTCCAAGACAAAGTTTACACCCGCAGTTTAACAAGCAAAGATTAAAGACAGAGTAATTACAGCTGAGATGTGTCCTGTAACACATCCTGTGATGCATTTTTTCTTTTTGCTCATCAGTCAGTAATTCGTATCTCAGGCATCCTGCATACCAGCAGCCAATGCTGTTTGCACTCTGTGTACCTACTACCCTATAAAGTTGCAAGGAATGTGACATAGTCATTAATGGAAGATCTACTACTGCACAACAAAGCTAATGCCTACAGCACAAGTCCGAAACACTCAGTTATCAGGGTTTTTCCCTCTCAGTAAACAACACTATAATCCCTGAGTTAATCCCATTTCTGCTATTTTCAGTGCTTCTGCAGTGAGGTAGTAACATGACGGCGCAGCAAATCCTCCTCCAGAAAGCAGCCAGTAAGGTAACTCCAGCCTGGGAAGGTAGCTGAGAGACAGAGCGTTGCTCAGATAATTAGCACACCCCGATTTCCTATCCAAAGCCTAGATTCCTACACACACGCTCTGCATGAAACATTTGTAAAAAAGGTGGTGCTTACCAGCAATCTATTCACTTTCAGCTGAAGTACATTATCCCACATTTGACTATTACATGCAACAGAAAACAAAGACTACTGAATGAAATGGCAGGAAGCTTTTTATTACTTCTGCCACTACCCAAAGAAATAAGGCCATGTACCCCTGAAACGACGAGAACTGAATTGCATAGCTTTATACAACTCCCTGCAGATTTCAAGGGCTTGCATTTTATAATTAAATCAGGTATTTCCTGCCA